GCACCCTGAGGGGGGAGGGGGTCTACGACAGCAGCACCTGGCGCGAGGAAGAGAGGCGGGGGGGGGGAGTGGGGCAGTGCGGTAGGGGAAGAGGCGGTAGTAGGGGACGGACTCGTCAAAGGTGACGTACTGAGAGGGCAAGACTCGGCGCGAGGTGGCGTGGTAAAACTGCCAACCAGGCGCGTCCGGGACAAAGCCGAGGAAGACGCAGGGAACAGCACGGGAGGAGAGCTTGTCCGCAGACGTATCGCGGACAAAAGCTCGAGATCCCCAGACCCGGAAACGCGACGCATCGCCAACCTCCCCCATCCACAGCAGTATGGGCGAGGTCTCCAGCAAGGAGACACGGGGCCAGAGGTTGAGCTGATGCGCAGCGTACCGGACCGCAAACGGCCACAGAAAGTGGGGGGCAGCCGCATGGATCAAGGAGGTACGGGCGACCTCCATGACCAGGCCAATGCGGCGCTCCGCAACCCCATTCTGCTGTGGTGAGGCCGGAAACGTGAACGACTGCTCAATGTCGTGCTCAGCACAGTAGGCTGCCAAGAGGTCGGAGGAGAACTCACCACCTCGGTCAGAGTGCAAGCGCAGGACAGGAAAGTCCGAGTGGAAACGCTCGCTGAGCTGGAGACGGGCTCTGCGGATCCAAGGGATCAAGACATCAGGGACCTCACCCTTGGTGCGCAAGGGGAAGACCGTGGTGTAGCGCGAGTAGTCGTCAACAACTATCAGGAAGTACCTCTCCTGACCCTGACCACAGACGCGGGCTGGGCCCCACACGTCCATGTGGAGCGTCTGCAAGGGAGCAGTCGTCGGGGGAAACGAGGAGGAGTGAGGAGCGGTGCGCTGCCGCCCCTCGACGCAGGGAAGACAAGGAGGAGCAGGCGAGGGTGGGAGGGGAGGGAGGACTCTTAGAAGACCGAAGACAAGGTACCGGGAGTGCATGGCACGAAGGCGCTGCACAGACGGGTGGCCAAGTCGGTGGTGCCAGAGGACAGTCTCATGCGCCAGAGAGCGACACGAGCAGGGGGCAGACAGCTGACCTGACGCGGACGCAGACGCAGACGCAGCGACCTGAGGGGACCCAGTGGTCAGTGTGTACAGGTCCGACCCCGGCTGCCGAGTAAAGGTAGCCAAGTGGCGGCCCGTACGAGCACATGTGCAGTGTGTCACGCGCTCGTAGGCAGGGGTGAACTGGTTAACACCCCCGTCTTGGAGTGCACTACCTGCCACCAAGTTCGTAGAGAACGAGGGGAGGTGGAGACCTGACAGTGTGCCCGACGGGACCGCAGGACAGGGAAGGACAGTGGAGGAGGTCGCAATGACCGGATCCCCAGAGGGGTCAGCGAGGGAGACAGCAACTGGCCGAGCAAGCGGCTCAAGGGCAGTGCGGTCACGAAAGAAGCAGCGAGAAGCACCTGAGTCCACTGTGAAGGTGTACAGTGCTGCCGTCGACTCAGTACCAGGGGGGGCAGACGCACAAGCACCTAGAGCAGCTGCCTCACCTGCACCTGGGGTAGCAGACACGCGAGTACCTGGAGCGGCAGACGCACTAGTCCTAATGCCCGGGTCGGGCGGCACACACAGGTACTCAGCACTCTCTCCACTAGTAGACATCACATACATAGCAGTGAGAATAGCATCAAAGTCTAGAGCATAGATATCAATCACCTTCTTCAGGAGATCAACCCAGCGGGGCAGCTCAGTGGCCTGAGGGAACTGAACACGCCAAGCGTCGTTGAGACGAGCGAAGCAGCGCTGTGTGGCGTGCGGTCCCCCACACGGCTGACCAGTGCGGTCACCAGTGCGAATGACGTACGTGCAGCTAAAGCCACCCCCCCCCCCCCCGTGCTGAGAGTACCACTCACGGACCTCCTGGGGCGACGGAGTGTGCTGCTGGCCCTGGCCATCGCCAGCGCCTCCACGACCACCACCGCCGCCGCCACCTCCTCGACCACCCCAACCCCTGCCGCCGCCGCGTCCACCGCCACCCCCACCACCGCCTCCGCCCCTCCCACCTCCCCCGCCGCTGCCGCCACCACCCCCACCGCTGCTACTAGCCCCTCCAGTCGCGCCACCACCCCCACCGCCGCCACCGCCCCCACCACCGCCTCCCCCGCTGTCACCGCCACCGCCCTTGCCCCCTTTGCCCTTGCCGCTGCGGCGCCCGCTCGAAGCAAACGCAGTCCCGACCTTCTCAGCACCAAGGAGGTCGACAGCAGCAGCAGGGGCGACGAAGGGAAGAAGGCGGGAAGGAGAGCACCCCTCAAAGAACGGGGTACGGGGTTCGCCACGAGAGGCACCTACAGCGACTATGCTAGCCTCAGCTGCAAGGAGTTCCTTCTTGAGGAGGGCAATGGTGAGCTCAGTGGGGCAGCGAGCTAGGAAGTGGTCCCTGACTGAGCGCAGAGTGTCAGGGAGGCGGGTGACTAGGTGGTAGAGAGTGAGCCAGAGTGGGGGTGGGTTCTTGGCAAGGAACTCATCAGGCATGGCGGCGCGGAAACGAGCCTCACTAGTGCGGAGGTGCGTAATGAGGTCAGCGACTGTGTGGAAAGAGGCTAAGTCGGGGAACAGGTAGGGAAGAGAGAGACGGTCTAGCGCGGCAGAGGCCGGTTAGGAGTAGCGAGCAACGACAGCAGTGTACAGTGCATGTGCAGTCTTGTGCTGCCCAAAGTGCTCGCGCTCATCTATCGGCAGGGAGTTGCGAATAGCGAAGCGAGCGTGGGCGTCACGAGTCTGCCACTGTGAGCGGGCAGTGCTGTCAGCAGTAGCAGCAGGAGCAGGAGCATGGCCTAGGGCGTGATCGTACAGTGAGATGTCCTCCTTGGCAGTGAGCTGTAGGAAGAGGTGTAGGTCATCTAGCCAGGTTTCGAACTTCACTGGGCGGCCCTCAGCATCGAAAGCTAGCACAGGAGGGCTAGCCATAGTAGTAGTAGGAGTAATAGCAGTAGGGGCACCCCAAAAACAGTAGGCAGTGCGACTCAGGTAGGGCGGCTCGGTCCAGTACGGGCGGCGCGGCTCGGTTCAGGTAGGGCGGCGCGGCTCGGGAAGGGCGGCGCGGCTAGGTTCGGGCGGCGCGGCTCGGTTTGGGCTGGGCGGCTCGGTTCGGGCGGCTCGGTTCGGGCTGGGCGGCTCGGTTCGGGCTGCTCGGGTCGGGCGGCTCGTTCTGGGGGGGGGCCGTTCGGGGCCTCTAGGGGCGAGCACGGGACCGAACGGGGCCTCTAGGGGCGAGCGCGGGGCCGTAAGGGGCCGCTAAGGGCGAGCGCGGGGCCGTTCCAGGCCTCTAGGGGCGAGCGCGGGGCCGTAAGGGGCCGCTAAGGGCAAGCGCGGGGCCGACGGGGGCCTCTAGGGAGGTGAGCCCGGGGCCGACGGGGCCGTTAGGGGCGATCGCGGGGCCGATAGAGTCGCTAAGGGGCGAGCGCGGGGCCGTAAGGGGCGAGCGCGTGGGCCGACGGGGCCTTAAGGGGCGGTGCGCGAGTCGCTAAGGGGCGGGTCGCGGGTCGCGAGGCCTTAGGGGGCCGTGAAAAAACGAGGCGCCCTAGGGCGCAGTTAGGTAGGTAGGTAGGTAGGTAGTGGTGGGCCCTAAAAAAAAACGGTCCTAGCGAAGGACCTGCTCTGATACCATGTTGAAATGAACGATCAGGAATGATTGAACTAACAGTGAAATCAATACAAGTACCTAACCCTAGAATTGTGTACCCCCTATAGGCTAACCCACTGTAGCCTAAACAAGCACAACATATATAATGTTTGACACACATCCCAAAACCACTCGCGCAACTGCGGTGGAGAAAGAGGCTCCCGCTATGACGAGGCACCCGTAGGACCTCCAGCAGACACAGTACCTCTAAGCTCAGCACCCCTAGACGCAGAACCCCCAGGCTACGCACCCTCAGGCTCAGCACCCCCAAGCTTCGCACGCTCTGGCTCAGCACCCCCAGGCTCCGCAACCTCAGACTCAGCAGAGCCAGGCTCAGCACCCCCAAGGCTCCGCACGCTCAGGCTCAGCACCCCCAGACGCAGCACGCCTAACAGCACCCCCCCGAGCAGCACCAGACTCGACAAGTACCTCGACACGCTCTGCCAAAGGGAGTCGGTCTACCCGAGACACACTTGAGGTAGCAGGATACTGAGGGGGGAGGGGGTCTACTAGAGGAGGTCCTGGTGCGAGGAAGAGCGGCGGGGGGGGGAGAGGGGCAGTGCGGTAGGGGAAGAGATGGTAAAAGGGAACCGACTCGTCAAACGTGACGTCCTGAGAGGGCAGGTTACGGCGCATGGTGGGGTGGTAAAACTGCCAGCCAGGCATGTCAGGGGGAAAGCCAAGGAAGAGACTGCCAGCTAGGCGTGTCAGGGGGAAAGCCAAGGAAGACACAGGGAATGGCGCTGGATGAGAGCTTGTCTACGGAGGTATCGCGGACAAAGGCACGAGAGCCCCAGACCCGGAACACAGACGCATTGCCAACCTCCCCCGTCGAACGTAGTGTAGGCGAGGTCTCCGGCAAAGAGATATATGGCCAGAGGTTGAGCTGATGCGCAGCGTACCAGACCGCAAACGGCCACAAAAAATAGGGAGCAGCCGTATGGATCATGGAGGTACGAGCGACCTCCATGACTAAGCCAATGCGGCGCTTAGCAACCCCATTCCGCTGCGGAGAGGCCGGAAGCGTGAACGACTGGCGGATGCCCTCCCCACGACAAAGTCCCGCAAGAGGTCGGAGGCGAACTCACCACCTCTATCAGAGTGCAGACGCAGGACAGAAAGGTCCTCGCGGAACTGCTCGCGGAGCTGGAGACGGACAGCGCGGATCCAAGGGATCAAAACATCAGGGATCTCCCCCTTGCTGCGCAAAGGGAAGACCGTGGTGTAACGCGAGTAGTGAGTGGTGTAAACTTCCCTCAGACGCCCCACGCTGAGCAAACCACTCACGAAGCTCCTTGGGCGTAAGGGTCTCGCGCGGACGCTGCTGCTGCTGCCTCTAGCCACCACTAGAGCCTCCCCTCTAACTGGTTCCACCCCAACCGCCACCACTGCTGCCGCTACCACTCCCACTGCTGCCACCACTGCCGCCGCCACCACTCCCACTACCACCACCATCGCCGCCACCAACGCCTCCACACCCACCACCACTCCCACCGCTCCCACTGCCACCTCTACTGCCTCCACTGCCTCCACCACCGCCTCCACCGCTGCTGCCTCCCTTGCCCTTGCCGCTGCGGCGCCTCCCACTAGGAGCAGACGTAGCCCCGACCTCCTCTGCACGTAGGAAGTCAACAGCAACAGCAGAAGCGAAAGAGAGGGCAAGGGGGGAGGGGGAACACCCCTCAAAGAAGGGAGTGCGAGGAGTGCCACGAGCAGCACCTACAATGACTATGCTAGCCTCTGGTGCAAGGAGGTGCTTCTTGAGCAGGTCGACAGTGAGGTCAGTGGGGTCCATGGTGAGAAAGAGGTCCCTGACTGCGCTAAGAGAGTCAAGGAGGCGGGTGACGATGAAGTAGAGAGTGATGTACATGGGGGGAGGGTTCTTGTCTAGAAACTTGGTGGGAAGCGCGGCCCGGTAGCGAGTGTCACTAGTGCGAAGGTGGGTGACGAGGTCGTCGACTGTGGCAAAGGCGGACAACTGGGGAAAAAGGTAGGGCAATATAAGGCGGTCGAGAGCAGCAGTGGCAGGGGAAAAGCAACGAGCGACTACTCATGGCAAAAAAACATAGCCAATTTGAAATTTCAAGGCAATGCATATAACATTGTTTTGAAGTGTTAGGGTAAAAATCACAGTCATCCTGAAATTACAAGCAAATCCTGAAACCCTCATGAAATCAGGGTAATCAGGGTTTCTTTCCCTGATAACAAAGGCCTTGCTTATGAATGTATGCTTGCGTTTGAGTGATGTGGAGTGATATGTGCTAAAGAGGTGTTGAATGCTAAGATAGCAATATTTAAAGGGCAATCCGCCTATTATATGGGTTGAATACGTGGGAAGTAGGGATTATAACGAGTACCTAGCGGTTGTAGGCAAAAGGTATCTCCATCTAACTGTTCTCCGCATTGTCCCCCTAATCGTTAACTTCGGATTCGGCGATCAAGCCCAAAACCAGACGCGCGAGTCGTCGATGCAGCAGGCCTAGTATAGTTGTGTTACCCTATCCCACTAGTGAGTCATCTTAACAAGCTTCTGCTCGCAAAGCTTAGTATTCCTTTTCGGACTTCATTTGGGAAACATACAGTGTAACGCATTGCCTACTCCCACCTAGCTACCTACTAACTCCTAAAGCAATCGTCGAGAAATATTTCGATGGAAATTGAACTACGGGATGTCGATGGTTGGGTTGGGAGTGAAGGTTGGTTTGGTTTTTTCCACCCTCAACCAAGAGGCTTGCGAAATTCCAACCCATCAAAATGGACGAAAAGGTTGAATTTGCAAACAAATTACCCTATCACAAACACAAACCATACAATGGTTCTAACTTGGGTTTTCTTAACCTAATCAGAATGCCACATAGGCTCCAAGCCTAGGAACTCCTCCGTCATGGAGCCATGGCTAGGAGGAGTTCCCAAGGGTGTGTGGAGGGGGTTTGAGCTTTGAAGCTCATTCTCAACCTCCCAACTCCAACAAAACATTTTTAGATTTGGGATTTTCTCATGAAGTCCTTAAACACTTTTCTACACAACTCTTTCAAGTGTTTATTATCAAGCGTATCAAGAAGACTCTCCAACAACAAACCAAAACCTTCTTAGAGGCATCAATAGATTTTACCTTTGTACTTGGGATATTATATAAGCCTTGTAAACTCAATTATAAGGGCCTTGGTGTTACATTCGGAGCAGTAACAAGGGCAGGGGGGCGCTCGGGAGAATGCAGCTCACCAGACATGTGGGCGTACAAATACACGTCATTGTGGCGTTGGCACTGCAGGTACATATTCACATTGTCGAGCCACACGTCGAAGTCAACCATCGACCCTTCACATCGAAGTATAGTACGAACTCAGGAGCAGGAGGAGGAAGCATATGGGACAGCAGGAGTGGTACGAATGGCTACAGCACGAGCAGTAGTGATTGTAGTAGTGGTTGCAGTGGCGGTGCAGGCGGCGTCAGCAGCAAAGGGCAGCAAATGGTTGCTAAGGGCGGCATAAGCTACTGCAAGTGCTACTGGTGGCTACCTATGCTGCTGACAGCATTGATGTTAGTGGCTAAATCTATTGGTGGTGCTGCTGCTGACACTGCTAGCTATAGCCTATGCTGCTCCTAAGATCCTGATGGCGTGCTAGCGGCAGCCTAGGCGCTTTTGGTGCTAAATGGCAGTGGTCTAAGCTGCTGCTGGCACGTTGGCGACAACCTAGGCATTGTGGCGCTCCCTGGTGGTGGCGTAGGTGCTGCTGATGCTAGCTGGCGGCGAGCAGGGCAGGGCAAAGCAGCGTTTCAATGCGTTGGTAGCATGCTGGCGTGTATGCGGCGGGGGACGGGGCAGCGCAGTGCGCGACGCGACGGGGCAGCGTGGCGCTCGACGCGAGGGGGTGACGGGGTGCGTTGGTCGATGGGGTGACGGGCGCACTAGAGGATGGACCGACATGGCACACTGGCCGATGGAGTGGCGACGCGCTAGAGGACGGGCCGACGGGGCGCGCTTGGTGACGGGTTGATGGGCGCTTGTCGACGGGGGAAGGGGTGACGGGGTGAGCTATGGGACAAGGCGCTACGGGCGGCAACCGGGAGGCTAACGAGTGGGAAACGGGTAGCTAACGGGCGAAACCCAAAAAACGAGTGTCCAACGAGTGGCGAGGGCAAAATCCTTAAAACAAGTGGTCAACAGCCAAAGAATGGGCGCTATGAGCAAGCAACGGGCAGCTAACGGTCGAAACCCTAAAAACGAGGCGGTACGCTAAGCGTGGGCGAGCGGAAGCGGGAATGTACCAGCCTAGCTGATACCATGTCAGCAAACGTATTGAACAAGAATGACTACTAATGACATACAATAGCATATGCAACCTAGCCTAGCTAATATAGAACATATATTGTTTCACTTAAAGGAGTGGAACCAGAATGCACGAACAGTGACGGGTCAGCGGACGAAGGACGAAACCCGAGGTCAGCAAGAGTGGTGTGCAGAGTGTCGTGCCACTCACGAGTTGCCTGGCACAGTCCGTAGACTAGTCTTCTCAAGCTCCACAGGGTCTCAGGCGGGATGATGCCTGTGAAGTCAGGAGGACAGCTTAGCCAGATATTCTCGTGCAGGAAACCCTAGGGGGAGGCAATTGAAAAGTCCAGAGAGTGCAGCTTGTTGTCTTGCTTTGCTACGATGTGTAGTAGCACCCGAAGAGTGGTCATCTTTGGGGTGGGGGAGAAAGTTTGGAAGAAGTTTACTCCCTCAAGTTGATTGAAGACTTTCACCACGTAGTGTGCCTTAAACACAGGCGGCAAACCAGGTGGCCGCTTCACCTTGAAAATCCGCATGCCATTCACTACGTTCGCCCTGGGAGGGGGGGTGCATTGACATACGTGCATGTGGACTTCCAAGACGCCACCTCTGCGTCCTTGGCTGCTATCCACTAAGAGGCCCAACGTTCCGACACTTCCTCAGTATAAGTACGAGGAGCCAGAATGTGTGGAGCGTCTGCGTCTCCCTTGTCAACGGGAGTTGTTGTTGGCCCCGTCCTTGCTTGGGTGGAGCCGACTTCGTTATCGGGTGTGTGGGGAGCGCAGCCAATCAGCTGCAGTGGGCCACACCGAGCGCAAGTCGACGAGCTGGTGGACCTGCTCGAGGCCACTGCAAGACCACGGACTTTGGGCAGTCGGCGGCCGGCCTCAACCTGGTGGTCGACAAGGGGAGACGTCGACCTAGGAGGGGCGTCGACTTTGGAAGGTGCCGATTTCGGGTGGTCGACCTGGCGAGGTCGACCTCGGAGGCATCGACTTGGTGATGCTGACTCGAGGCACCCGACTGGGTGTGGTCGTCTGACAGGTGGGCTGGTCGACCAGGAGTGTCGTCGACCTGGAGCTGGTCGACGAAGGGTGTGGTTGACCTGGTGAGGTCAACAGGAGGCAGTCGTCAACTTGAGTGGTCGACGGGCACGTGGAGGAGGAGCTGGTCGATGAGGTGGTTGCCCGACCGACCAGGTTACCTCGGCGACGGGTTTCTGCGGAAGCATGCGACAGTCGCCCAGGTGTTCATGGCGAGGCCGACTTCGGTCTGGTATCCCGAGGTCGATGTGGCTGATCAGAAGCAGTCGTCAGTACGAGGACGATTTGGTGTGTGTGTTGTATAGGTGACAGGACATAGCCCGCCAATCATCGGCGAGCACCTGCGAAGCGGGTGCGTTGCTGTCTTGCGGGTGCAACACTTTGCAGCCGACTTGCTGCAGCGTTGGCACGTCGTCGACTTGCATTGTTGGCGAGCCACGACTTCGCACTGCTGAGCGCAGTCGACCAAGTCACACTGGAACGCGGTCGATCGTGATGTGTTGGCAGTTGTCCTGCTTTCATGCTAGCTCTGATGTAGTCTTGTCTTGCCAACTTCATTGTACCTTTTGTTGTCAACCTTTCCTAGTGGAACTCTTGCCAATTGTCCTTGTGAACTAGCAAGTACTGTGAGCACTTGGAAACGACTAAGGAACGAACGAATGCAGAGATCACTCAAGCCACGGGCTAGGGCGAGCAGGAGGAGAACGAGCAGGGGAAGATTCCAGAGGAGAAAACATATGACCGTGAGCAGGAAGAGTGTTATAGTCACAACATGCTCAAATCCTAACAAGAAAGATAAAGTGTACACACAAAATTCAAAATAATATAGCGGTCTGGATACTGCATCAAGTGATGCGCTACAAATTGGATATGGAGCATCCTAATGCCGTACAACTAGCAACTTGAATCACTCGATATCATGAAGAACAGACGACGTGATAGTAGTTTGAGCAAACGGCAGTGCAGTCTAGCAGCAACTACAGTCTTAGAGCATAAAAATAGGAAGAAGTTCGAGTTGGGAATGGCTCCCAACCTCTACAAACCCAAAGAGCCTAGTTTAAGGGAGATGGGACGGTGCCACACGGTCCCTAACCTCAAAAGGTGTGGAAACGACCCACCACAAGGGTGTACCCCAAGAACTTTGTTACACTACAATACAATGCAACTATTTTTTATATCTTGATGTTTACCGTGATGACGAGCTCTGAAATGATTCTAATATTTGTCAGAATATTATAATTGTCTAGCCTGCAGTGGGGTACTCTATAGCGAGTACAACCCAATTAGGGTTTCCTATATGTATGCCAACTGCTGCTAGTGCAACCCCTCTCTTCTACATTCCTCATTCTTCACATGCTATCAGAGCATCTACGCTCCTGGCCTATGGGCCCACCTTACTGCTTCCGCTGCTACTCTGTGTGCTGCACGCCCCATGGCGTGCCCCTCGCGCAACCCTTAGCGGCCCCGTCGCCACCCCTCGCGGCCCCGTCGCCGCCCTTCTCGGCCCCTCGCGGCCCCTTCGCGGCCCCGTCGCCGCCCCTTCGCGGCCCCGTCGCCGCCCCTAGCGGCCCGTCGCCGCCCTTCCAGGCCCCTCGCGGCCCCTTCGCGGCCCCATCGCCGCCCCTAGCGGCCCATCGCTGCCCTTCCAGGCCCCTCGCGGCCCCTTCGCGTCCCCGTAGCCGCCCCTATCGGCCCCGTTGCCGCCTCCAGCGGCCCCGTCGCCGCCCCTTGCGGCCCCGTCGCCCGTCGCGGCTCCCTGGGGGGCCGCTGGGGGGGGGGGGCGAGCGTCGCCCCTTCTGTCGCCTGCTTTGGCGCCCTGGGAGGCCGCGCGTCGGCCCCTCCTTCCCCCCCCCCCCCGTAACCTCCCTACCCGCCATCCCGCCCTGCCCTGTGTTAGGGTTTGGGGGTGGCGAGTAGGGGGTGGCGGGTGTGTGGTCTCCCCTGCTCCTCCTCCTCCTCTGTCTTCCACTGCTGCAGCTGCCGTTGAGGGGGGTGGGTGTGTGGGAGTCGACGGAGTGGTGCTAGGGGGTGGGGTGTGAGTGAACCTAGGGTGCAGCAAGGGGTGTGTGAAAGGGGGGTGCTGTGGGA